GCGAAAATCGTCAAAATTATGGGTTTTTGAGTAGTGATTGATGCTCCTCTTGCATCCAAAGGAATTTGTGCGTTATTTGGAGAAAAGTAAATTTTTGGCCGAATTTGAGTAAAAATGCAAGGCTAACCCCTTGCAATTAAATCAATTTTGACCAAAAAATGAAAATCCTGAAATCATGCAGGAATGATGCCTAAAGGGCCCTTAAACACATTCCGACTCGATTTGGGGACAGATGTGTCATCAAAAGAAAACTTGCGCAAAAAATATGGGAAAATTTCAGTCAAAAAATACGACTTTTTCTCTCTCAATAAATCGATGATTTTTGCGAAAACTTCCAAATTATGGGTTTTGAGTATTGATTGATGCTCCTCTTGCATCCGTTGGAATTTGTGCGCTATTTGGAGAAAAGTGTTTTTTTGGCCGAATTTGAGTAAAAATGCAAGGCTAACCCCTTGCAATTTGATCAATTTTGGCCAAAAAATGAAAATCCTTTGAACATTTTTTGCGAAAATCGTCGAAATTATGGGTTTTTGAGTAGTGATTGATGATCCCCTTGCATCCGTTGGAATTTGTGCGCTATTTGGAGAAAAGTCAATTTTTGGCCGAATTTGAGTAAAAATGCAAGGCTAACCCCTTGCAATGTTATCAATTTTGGCCAAAAAATGAAAATCCTTTGAACATTTTTTGCGAAAATCGTCGAAATTATGGGTTTTTGAGTAGTGATTGATGATCCCCTTGCATCCGTTGGAATTTGTGCGCTATTTGGAGAAAAGTCAATTTTTGGCCGAATTTGAGTAAAAATGCAAGGCAAACCCCTTGCAATTTTATCAATTTTGACCAAAAAATGAAAATCCTTAAAACATGCGGGGATGATGCCTAAAGGGCCCTACAACACATTCCGATTCGATTTGGGGACAGATTTGCCATCAAAATAAATCTTGCGCAAAAAATATGGGAAAATTTCAGTCAAAAATATGATTTTTTTTCTCAATAAATAGATGATTTTGGCGAAAATCGTCAAAATTATGGGTTTTTGAGTAGTGATTGATGATCCCCTTGCATCCGAAGGAATTTGTGCGCTATTTGGAGAAAAGTCAATTTTTAGCCGAATTTGAGTAAAAATGCAAGGCTAACCCCTTGCAATGTTATCAATTTTGGCCAAAAAATGAAAATCCTTTGAACATTTTTTGCGAAAATCGTCGAAATTATGGGTTTTTGAGTAGTGATTGATGCTCCTCTTGCATCCAAAGGAATTTGTGCGCTATTTGGAGAAAAGTCAATTTTTGGCCGAATTTGAGTAAAAATGCAAGGCTAGCCTCTTGCAATTTTATCAATTTTGGTAAAAAAAATGAAAATCCTTAAAACATGCAGGGATGAGCCCTAAAGGGCCGTACAACACATTCCGAATCGATTTTGGGGCAGATGTGTCATCAAAAGAAAACTTGCGAAAAAAAATATGGGAAAATTTGTGCGCTATTTGGAGAAAATTGAATTTTTTGCTCGAAAATGAGTAAAATTGCAAGGCTAACCTCTTGCAATGTTATATATTTTGGCAAAAAAAGGAAAATTCTTGAAAAGTGCAGGGAAGACGCCCAAAGGGCCCTAAAACACATTCCCAATCTAGCAATTTGATTTAATTTTTTTCTCGCTAACAGACGCAGAAATTTGTTTATTCATTATGTATATGTAAAATCGGAGAAAAATCAGCACAAAATAACAAAACAAACAATTGTAAGGGGTTAACCTTGCAATTTGATTTAAAATTTGGGTCTTTTTTGTGTTTTCTCCAAATAACTCAGAAATTCGTTTCCAAGTAAGTCAGTAACTTTAATTCCGATTCTGCGATATTCACACATTTGTGTTATAAATCGGAGAAAAATCAGCAAAACATAGCAACAACAAAAATTGTGAGTGATTAACCTTGCCTTGTTATTTTATAATTATTTTTTTTTTCTCCAAAAAAGAAATTTGTCTCAAAGTAATTAATGCAGTAACTTTTCCAGATTTTGCGATATTCATATAGGTCTATGTGTGTCACTGTATGTGACACTCCTTTATGTTTTTTAAGCATTTGCATTTTTAAAGACGTCACGATGCCGTAACATATTCTTTTTCCAAATTTTGTGCGTATGTATATGACCTATCAAACCTATAACAAAAAAATACGAATTTAGCATTTTTTTGTTTGGAAAGAATAAAAAAAATTATTATCACTCACCCCCAAGATGGCCGCAGTGCAAACGATCTGAATGACTCCGGTGTGAACTGTCAATAGGACTCTTAGGAGGAATTTGAACACGAAGGAGTTGAGTTTAGGCCGAAAAAAATTATTCGGTCTCTGGTCCAAAGACCAAAGTTCCGGAATTGACGCGGCCACGCGGCTTTTTTTTTTTTCTTCAAGCTTGGATTGTACAGACAAGGTGGGGTACTACTTTGCTTTTTTGGTGTCCTCATGTACATTGGTGTCCTCCATAATTTGCCTTGGTGCTTTCGATCATTTGCCTTGGTGCAATTTCCCATTCCTTGGTGCTCTTTGGTAAAAAAAAATTGAGGAGGTGCAGAAATAGAGGGCGCTGTTGGAGCTAACGCGGAACATTTTGGAAAAAAAAGATCGACGCGCATGATTAAAATCGACGCGCGCGCTGACCAGAGACCGACTTATTTTTTTTTTGGCCTTACCTTGCATTTTAATTACAATTCGGTCAAACTCCAAAATAAAATACAATCTCACTTGTTTATATAATCACATGCTTGTCATCTGTATTTGGTGTGAAAACTTCATCCCAATTATCTTCACCTCGGCTTAATTAAGACTTGTGATCTCTGCTCATATCAATCACTAGCACAACATTCTTCAAGATTACAAACATCTCAAGTCTTGTTTACAAAATATTGCATTTTTAAAATGCCTAACGGGCTATTCATAGCTAACATTCAATGGAAAATTGAACAGCTTAAAGTGTGTACATTGAGCCAACAACTTCAATAATTGTGTTTTTTAAGTCACTTGACCTTTTTTTGTTGGGGTGGAGGTGGAGTGGGGGGGGGGAGGTTGCCACCAACAGGATATCAGAATTACCGTGAATTGTACTTCGTGTCCATGGCAACATTACAGAGGGATGATGGGTTGCATATAAGGTTTGCATATTAGGGGACACCTTGAACAACTCACGAATAAGGCTGCTATATTTCGTGAAGTTAAACTTGGTATGACGGTATTAAAAAATATGTCATGCTCGTATATTGAATTATGAAACACGGACACATTTCGTGTTTACAGCATTTCGACTTTCGATGGACACTTTGGTTAAATAAAATCTACAGTTTGAAAAAAAAAAAACAGTTTGGAAAAAAAGTCCTGACAACTAAAATCAGCATGATTATTTCTTCAGATCTGAAAGCTAGATTTGAAAAGAAAATTGATTTCGCAATTATTATTAGAGTGACAAGGTTTTATACGCCAATTAGATTTCATGCCTGACGAGCACCCATCACATTTTCTCATGCTTTACCATAGCTTGTCTTGTTATAATATCACCAGTCCACCCCTGGAGAGAGAATGGAGTTCCCCTTTTTCCCCCCACTCATAATAAATCTGTCAATGCCAAGGCTACGATTACACCTTTAACGCGACGACAGCCCGCATCGCGGCAGTAATAATACGGGTACCTCTTAACAAGATGACCCAAGGACCGACGCGGGACAGACCGGGGTTTTCCCCTGTAAGAACCCCGGTGATAACAAAAATAATCCAAACCACTCTCGTTGACAGCAAGAACAGGTTGATTCTTATGGAAGGTCAAAGCTACCAAGAAAAATAAGACATAAATACATCTCCCACCAGCTGCGCAAAGTACAACTTCATCAATGTTTCATAATTTTCTGCAGAGTTGATGTACAGTACTTATTTTTTTCTCAGTTCACACTCTACGAACATTACAATTATTTGGATTTTTTTTAGTATTTCGGGTAAAAACTCTCTAAACTTTTCCCACCCCATAAACAAATTCCTGAATTATAGTAATTTTTACACGAGTACTTTTAATTACCAAAAGTGGTACCTTAGGAGGCAGTCTCATAGGTTGTGCACATAAATGTTCATATCACCTAAGCTCCATTTTATCCTACCCATGGGCGTCGCCAGGATTTTTTCTAGAGGGGGGCAACATTTTCTTTTGCCAAAAAGTGCTTGTATTTCTCAACACATTCTCGATTTATCAGTTTTAGAGGGGGGCAGGGACATTTTGCCCCCCCCCCCCCAACTCATTAAATTTACACCACTTTGTCTTCGCGCCTCTTTTTTTTTTTTTTTTTTTCTTCCTTTTTCTTCCTTTTTTTTTTTCTTCTTTTTTTGCTTTTCCAGGGGGGGGGGGGGCAAGTGCCCCCCCTTGCCCCCCCCCTCGCGACGCCCATGATCCTACCCCACAAATGTTGGTACATTTATGATCTGTAACACGGTACCCTCTGGAGACATGTGCACAATAGGGAACAAAAGATTGTATCCGTATCCACAGGGCAATTTCCTGTAGATCAATACGTCTCCACAAGGTCATCACGAAAAAGATATATGGATTTAACTCAAAAACTTGGAATTTCCAAGGTTTGTTGATCCGTCGCAAATTGAAGTATTTTATGTAAGGGATATTAAGCCCAAATTTCAGCCCAGGAAATCCATTCTGCTGAAAATATGAGCATTTTGAAAGTTCCCTTTCAAACTCAAAAACTTTAGTGCATGAGAACAAAGAAATGACTCCACGAGGATACACATTTCAGTACGGGTGTTTTGGACCACGATCTAGCCTATTTGCGACTGTAATTGTGCCACTAAATATGAGTTGTATCATAGGGAGACGTCTCCTTAAAATGTCTCCTTAATCTATCTTGTTTCCCTAAGGTATTATGTCTCCTTAAGGGTATATTTAAAGGAAACTACATGTAATGCTTATTACAATAGACACATGGACCAAAAAGCAAAACAAAACAATGAGAGAAATCAAAGATTCAAGATGATCCTTTTCATAATATGATTATTAAAAACAACTTCAGTTTTGCGTGTATGCTAATTGACACGGAGTGAGAAGTTACAACGCATTTTAACTGTGTACATTTTAAAACATCCCCTAATTACCATTTAACAGTGTGTATAAGTTTACATATCAAGATACACATTGCGAAAAAGAACTGAAAATCAAACATGAAAGTCTTCATAACATTCAATGCAATTATGCAACACTATTTTAAGACGTAGCACTTCACGTTAAATAGGCAGAAATAGTTTTCAATGTACAATCGTCAACCTTTCCCCGTATAAACGAGCATTTAAAACAAAACCCAAAATAGCAGAAAAATATATACAAAACCAAATAAAACAAAAGATGTCTAGGTCTATTTAGAATGATCGATTTCTAAATGAATAAAGGTTTTGCTGGAGAATACATGTACAAGATTCAATTGAGGAACATCTTAAACTGTCAGTAAAAACAGAGTTTTGAGAAAGTCGTTAAAGTTTAACGATCTAATATTTCAACATTTACAATTTATTCATTAAAATTTATAGCCTGCAGATAGTGAGTGAAAATTGTACATCAGTGTATTCATCAAGTTGGTGATGTATTCAGGTGAAAATATCAACAACAAAATTTGGTATACGCATTCATTTTTTATAAGCAGGCAACTAACTTTCTAAACTAATATAAATATCACTGAGTCTGAGTGAAAAGAAACATCCTGTGTTAAAATTGTCTAATGTCATTATCCCTTTAATTTCGAAGAAAGGTGAAAAGTTTTGATTGAAACACCTTGAGAAAAGAATCATTTCGGAGGAAACCCAGATAAATACTCGATCCATTCGATCCAAATAGTCTTCTACTCGAACACAGCGAATTTGAAGTCTTTGGAAATAAAAAAATAATTACTTCCAATTTTATATTTTGTAGGGAAAACGGGTACAAGTGCATGCATGTCAAACCGTAAAACTCAACCACATGTACACATCAAAAATGATTCTTTATGGCAAAAACTTAGAAATCTGGCAACTTAGTTATATACATTGAGAAATACATAAACCGATGGACGGATTCAATAAATACAATTTTACACAGGTTTCGAATAAGTCATCATAACAGTACACAATCATAATTTGTACAATATTTTCGTTAATGGCCGAGTACAATACAGTGAATAAAATACAAAAGTCACTTATGCATTCCTCTTAGTGCAAGATTCGTTTAGCCAAAGAAGTTTCGCTTAGTATAGCGTGCACTTGATCTAAAAATGTATTAAAAATATTCAAGGAAACAACTAAACAACTTGGCCTATGTTCCATTTCACCTATGTGCTATCTTGGCAACGTCTTAAGTTTTGCTTATGTGATATTAAACAGGGAACACATGCATTCTATGCAAAAATAACATCTGAAGCAAAAGCCAACGACTAAATTTGTTTTTGCTGGTTAGGATTTTTCCCCCCAAGTTATTCTTTTTTATGTGGTTTCAAAATTCCTTACTAAAAGCAGCTCAATGGCTTCCTGTCTAAACAGGGCTTAACGGTATTTCGTAGAAACCACCGTTCACAATGCCGTTCTTCATCTGACCCCTTTGCCTTTCATGCTGTTCCCTGGTCGGCAAGGCGTCCGTTCCCAGAGTCCAGTTGAATCTGCTCATGTGCCACATCTTCAAGCACATCAAGACAATGATGACAACGGAAAGGATTAGTAAAGCAGCGACCACGATAAAAGCGATCAGCCAGTAAAGTGGAGGTTGCTGGTCACCCTCCATTGGGTCAGGCGGCATATGATCGAGAGTGGTGAAGGCAGGTTTGTGGCTGCTCTTCGGGCGAGGACTTTCAGTCTTGCTTGGGATGTACTTGCCAGTCGTGGAAGACCGATGTGTTCTTGGGTTGATGGCAGTGGGGATGGGGTCTTGGCTTGACAATTCAGGGGTCACGGTGGTGGCACTTGACAAGGATGTCAGTGGAGAGGTGATTGGGTCAGAGCTCTGAGAAGTTGGGCTAGTTTCAGTTGGCAATGGTAACTGAGTTGGTGGTGCATTATTCGTAGAGACCTCACCCTTCTCTGTGCTCGACTGGATTGTGCTAGCTTCTAGGAAAACGGTACTGTGGTCGGAGGACACAGTCGTGTGGTCGGGAAAAGTTGATGGGGAGTCGGATGGCGATGTGGTGGGGTTAGTTTTGGGTTCAGTCAGGAAAGTTCCAGTTGTGGAGGGGAGAGCAGTTGGTGTGCTCTCAACGGTGGTAGAGCTGTCCGGGTCAGTAGTCGAGAGACTTGGCATGGTCGAGAGGAGTTCTGTAGTCGGATCTGAAATTTGGCTAGTAGGGTTGGTCAAAGTAGCAATAGTGGTAATCAGTTTTCCAGTCACTAACAGGGTGGTTTGCTGAAATATGGGCTCTGTGGAGGGGGTGTCCGAAAATAAAGAAGATGTAGTCGGACTTACCACGGATGTGGAACCATCTGGAGTGAAAGTCGAGAGACCAGACATTACAGAAGGCGTTTGGGACATTGGGATAGTAGGTTTGGTCGTCGTGCTGTCACTTGTTGAAGCACTATCGGTCAACGTGGCTGAATTAGTGACAGCAGGGGTAAGACAGCTTTCAGTTACCGGTTTAGCAGTTTGCTGAAAAGTGGGCTCTGTCGAGGGGGTGTTTGAAGAAACTGAAGTTGTAGTCGGACTTACCGCGGTTGTTGAAACCTCTGGGGTGGCAGTTGAGAGATCAGACATTGCAGACATTGTTTGGGACATTTGGTCAGTAGGTTTGGTCGTCGTGCTGTCACTCATTGAAGCACTATCGGTCAACGAGGCTGAATTAGTGACAGCAGGGGTAAGAGAGTTTTCAGTTACTCGTTGAGTAGTTAGCTGAAAAGTGGGCTCTGTCGAGTGGGTGTTTGAAGAAACTGAAGTTGTAGTCGGACTTACTGCGGTTGTTGAAACCTCTGGGGTGGCAGTTGAGAGATCAGACATTGAAGAAGTTGTTTGAGACATTATTGGGTCAGTAGGTTTGGTCGTCGTGCTGTCACTCGTTGAAGCACTATCGGTCAATGTGGCTGAAGTGACAGCAGGGGTAAAAGAGTTTTCAGTTACTGGTTGAGAAGTTTGCTGAAATGTGGGCTCTGTGGAGGGGGTGTTTGAAGATACGGAAGTTGTAGTCAGACTTACTGCGGTTGTTGAAACCTCAGACATTGCAGAAGTTGTTTGGGACATCGGGTCAGTAGGTTTGATCGTCGTGCTGTCTCTCGTTGAAGCACCATCGGTCAACATGGCCGACGTGCTAGCAGGGATTATTGGGTTTTCAGTCACTGGCGGAGAAGTTTGCTGATGTGTGGGCTCTGTGGAAGGTGTGTCCGAAGATGCAGAAGATGCAGTCTGGCTTGTCTCTGATGGTGTGGTTGGAATGGCATTGATGTAGGTGGACATTGTCTGTGTTGAGGAATCCAGAGGAGCAGTTTGCGTCGAAAGCGGTTCGGCTGTGTCAGTCTGGCCCGGGGAGGAGAACAGAATTGTATAACCACTGGTATCTGGAAGCGGCTGGGCAGTGCTTACATCGGCAGCAGAGGATCTAACTCTGGTCAGTTCACTTGTTGCTGTGGTCTCAGACACGGTTGGGGTATGAGAGAAAGTTGGTTGCGGTGTGGTCGGCTGGGGACGCTGCTCGACACGGATGGGGCCGATAGTACAATTCCGCCGCTCGTCTGGATACCGGGGGCTGGTGATTTTACAGATGAAAACAAAGTCGGCGTGAGGTGCGTTGATCACCAAGTCCTTACTCTTTGTGATCGTGTCTTCAGACTCAGTGGTATTCCACGCAACATCAGATGGAGCAGAGTCTAGGGTGAAGATGGTCAGGTTTACGGGAGGGTTACCTCTACGCGATGCACAAGTCAGTGCCGTGCTGTCGCCGATGTACACGGCCAGTGGACCGCTCGGCGTGCATGCTGGATTACCATCGCCCGGGAAGGAAAACACAGTCAATGTTGCCTCTTCGGCGTGCGTCAAAGGGTTTTCTGCGTTCTGTTGCCGTACTTCACAAACGTATCGTCCAGTGTCCCGTGTGCTGACGTGGGAAATAGTCAGTGTGAGTGCCTCATCAGTAGAAGAATCGCCTCGGTTTACCTGTGTGATCACAATCCGACCGCCAGTCGTTAGGACCTGAAAGTTGAGCCGCCAGGTGATGGTGTCTCCCTGCGCTAAACCTCTCACTTCACACCTCAGCGTAATGTTATCTCCTTCCTCAGCTTCCACGACACCCGGTCCAACTTCTGTGCCGTTCACCACAACAATCTGTGCTTTAAGAATCCCAAAGGCCCCGTAGAAGCAGAGAGTTAAAACACAGAAGACCAGTTCAAACGATCGCAGTGTCACAGACTCCATTTTGGTATGATGTACACCAACTCAAGAAAAGGGAGTCGCGTCGAAAAGCAAAATCTCTACTCGGGAAGAAAACGAAGACAGTCCTTTTTATACCGCTCCCAATCTTCCAATAATCCAATAATCACGCCAGGATGTTAATACAAAGACATTGGAGTGGGACGGTTCGTCGTATTAAAACTAAAATTAAATGATGACAGAGGGTTTTCGACGGGTGAATCCCGCTATAATATTCCCCAAATCGATTGCGCAAACACTGCATACTTCTGTACTAAACTGTATCCCACAGATTCGTGCAGGGGGGTCACATGTTGACCCACTCGTTTATACTACGCTGCATCGGGAGTCCTGTTTATGTCGTCACGATTTACTATGTTTTGTTTGCTGCCCTCAACGACGACTTTTACACAAATTGCACGTTCGGGTCGAAACAGGACCTGAAAAACAGCTCTCATAAGTACCTTTTGTACTCATTTCATGACAGACACAATTGTCGTTTTTATTTCATCACACCTAAGGCTACATTTACCCGAAAAATGACGGAAATGTCTTCGAGCATTCCACAACCTCTTTAAGTTAGACGTACAAACGTATACTACGTAAACTTTAAAGGTTTTTTTTTTCAGGTATTGTTGTATGACCCAAAGGAAATTACTAGGATAGGCTCGAAACTGAGTGCATTATTAAACTTGATTAAAAGCCACTTGACAATTTCCAGAAAGATGACTCGGATCCCGGTTAGTGTTTTGTTCTGAGAGCTCAGCGATCGAGTGTTTTCAAGAGACACAACTTGTTGATTTTCATTCGTGGACGTCGGGCCTAAATGCCTCACTGATAACAAATATTTGTCCAGGGTAAATAGATATGACAATGAACCTCGTTCGTCGAACTCCTGCTATTGTGTCGCGGTCATTCAGCCTCTGTGTTTCGCTGTTATCTTATCTTTCACAGAAGGAATTCAAAATATTAATTCCCAATAACAAGCCTTTAATGTGGTCCATTTTTCGAAAGTAAATAGTTTATATTCAGATCACAATTCTGTTTGTGTGGAAATCGTCAACAAAATGGGGGTTTCCCACCAATAGAGGGCGTCATGACACCTCTCCAACCTGATTCGTCTTCATTTACTGTTTCCTTCTTTGAGAAGCAACCGTGATGTAACGTCTTCAGAAAACGAAACTGACGACATTCTTAAAACCATGGATTGCGTAAGAGATGGGGAATCGGGAAATGATGTAAGAAGAAATGTCGAAACGTTTTGTATAAAAACCCACGTTTTTCACTTAAAAGAGCATTGTGTGTACACGCCAAGTTTGAACATTCTCAAAATAAAACCCCATTTTGTGAAAGCCGAATCAGGATGTGATAAATAATTAAACGAATGTTTGGAAGTTCATATATTATTTTATTGTTAGTCAACCTATTGCATTCTTTTATGCAAGTTGGGTGAGACACTATCGGAAAATATTATTTGCCCAACATTCGGAATAAAACTACCTCAATTGTTAGTTCGTTCGGGTGACACTTGACCAACTTTTGGGAAGAATTTGCCCACGAGTTGGTACCTTGACCAACACAAGGCAAAATATCAATCCATTTACCAGACTGTTGTGAGTTTCGTAAGGTGTCCACATATTGTAAGACCCAAAGACCAAAAAAGGAAAACAAAACAATGAGAGAAATCAAAGACGCAAGATGATCCTTTTCAACATGATTATTAAGAACAAATTCCTTTTGCATGCATGGTTGACAAGGGGTGAGATTTAACAAAGCCTTTTCACTGTGTACATTTAAAACAATCCCCTTACAAACATTTAAGGGTGTGCATAATTTTACATAACAAGGTACATAACATAATCCGTTTCTGTTCAGTATTAATTCAATATTGCGAAAGAGAACTGAACATGCAAGTTTCAGGGGCGGATCTAGGATTTCTTTTCAGGTGGGGGGGGGGGGGGTTCATCAGCAAATAAATGCTGAAATGTAGACAAGTTTTTTTCTCCGGACAATTGGCCTCCTTAGAATCCCCCCAACTCTGGATCCGCACCCGAGTTTTCATAACATTCAATGCAACACTATGCTAAGAATAACGAGCACGTCAAGCACTCCACGATAAATAGGCAGAAATCATTTTCAATATACAATCGTCAACCTTTCACCGTATAAACGAGTATTTAAAACAAAACCCAAAATACCTGAAACATATATACAAAACCAAAAACAAAAAAAAGATGTCTATATATACGAATGGTCGATTTATGAATATATAAATAAATAAACTATATGCTGGATAATACAAGAGTGAATTGAGGAATAACTTGAACTGGAAGTAAAAATACGTTTTGGGGACAGTCATCATAGTTTAACGATCCACTATTTTAAAATTTATAATACATTCGTCAATTTAAGTAGCCTGCATAATCAGTGAATTTCGTAGATCCGTGTATTCCTCAAGTTGGTTATGTATTCAGGTGAAAATATCAACAACATGAATTTTAGTGTACACATCTTTTTATTTTAGCAGGCAACTAACCTTATAAGCTAAAATAAATATCACTGAGTGAAAAGAAACAACCTGCGTTAAAATTGTCTGATGTTGTTGTCCCTTTAATTTCGAAAAAAAAAACACAGGTGGAAACGTTTTGATTGAAACACCTTGAGAAAAGAATAGTTTGGGAGAAAACCCAGATGAAAACTCGATCCATTCGATCCTAAATAGTCTTCTACTCGAACACAGCGAATTTGAAGTCTTTGGAAATAAAAGTTCTTTCCAATTATGTATTTTGTTGGGAAAACGGGTACAAGTGCATGCATGTCAAACCGTAAAACTCAACCACATGTACACATCACAAATAATTCTTTCTGGCAAAAAACTGAGAAATCGGGAAACTTAGTTATATACCAGGAGGAATACATAAACTTCGGATGGACGGATTAAATAAATACAAAAACGGGTTTCGAATAAGTCATCATAACAGTACACAATCATAATTTGCAATATTTTCGTTAACGACCGAGTACATTACAGCGAATAACATTATTATTAAGTCACTATTATTACATTCCTAATGCAACATTTGTTTAGCGACAGAATATATTAGCATGGAACGTTGGTACGTTGGTGAAGGGCCAAACACAGGGTTAACATTTCATCTACTCAGCGCCAAAACTGTCTATCATTATACAATTATCTTGACTACCTCCCAATACAAATATACAAAATGGATTATGATCAGCTTTCACATCAACGATGTTCCACTAAAAACCATACTTTATAAAACTTCTAAACTAAATACCGGCGTAAAAAATACAGCCGGACAAACTCCTTGTTTTCTTCTCAATTAGATGTGAAGTTCTAAATCTCATTCCAAATTTATCAGTTCGCTGCTTTTTCTTGCTTTCTGTGTTGCACTTAAAAAAAGAACCTCGATTTACTTTGACGGATTTAATCCCGCCAGTGGTGTTCATATGATTTTATGAATATAATCAAATACATATTAAGCAAAATATCAGACAGGAGCCGTTTCACTTGAAAAGGATGACATTTTTGCTGGTAAGGAATTTTCCCCCCAACTTATTATTTTTTTTATGTGGTTTCAAAAGTCCTTACTTAAAGCGGTTAATGGCTTCCTGTCTAAACAGGGCTTAACGGTATTTCGTAAAAACCACCGTTCACAATGCCGTTCTTCATCTGACCCTTTGCCTTTCATGCTGTTCCCTGGTCGGCAAGCCGTCCGTTCCCAGAGTCCAGTTGAATCTTCTCATGTACCACATCTTCAAGCACATCAAGACAATGATGACAACGGAAAGGATTAGTAAAGCAGCGACCACGATAAAAGCGATCAGCCAGTAAAGTGGAGGTAGCTGGTCACCCTCCATTGGGTCAGGCGGCATATGATCCAGAGTGGTGAAGGCAGGTTTGTGGCTGCTCTTCGGGCGAGGACTTTCAGTCTTGCTTGGGATGTCCTTGCCAGTCGTGGAAGACCGATGTGTTCTTGGGTCGATGGCAGTGGGGACGGGGTCTTGGCTTGACAATTCAGGGGTCACAGTGGTGGCACTTGACAGGGATGTCAGTGGAGAGGTGATTGGGTCAGAGCTCAGAGAAGTTGGGCTAGTTTCAGTTGGTAATGGTAACTGAGTTTGAAGCGCCTCACTCGTAGAGTCTTCGACCCTCTCTGTGGTCGACCGGATTGTTCTAGCGTCGGCGATATCGGTACTGAGGTCGGAGGACATTGTCGTGTGATCGGGAAAAGTTGTTGGGGAGTTGGACATGGTTGACATGAGATCTGTAGTCGGGTCTGGAATTTGGCTGGTAGGCCTACTAGGGTTGGTCAAAGTAGCAATAGTGGTAATCAGTTTTTCAGTGACTGGCATGTCGGTTTGCTGAAATATGGTCTCTGTGGAGGGAGTGTCCGAAGAAACAGAAGATGTAGTCGGACTTACCACGGTTGTTGAAACCTCTGGAGTGGCAGTTGGGAGATCAGACATTGCAGAAGGCGTTTGGGACGTTATGTCCGTAGGCTTGATCGTCGTAGTTTGGCCCAGGGAGGACAACAGAATTGTATAACCACTGGTATCTGGCAGCGGCTGGGCAGTGCTTACATCGGCAGCAGAGGATCTACCTGTGGTCAGTTCACTTGTTGCTGTGGTCTCAGACGCGGTTGGGGATTGCGAGAAAGTTGGTTGCGGTGTGGTCGGCTGGGGACGCTGCTCGACGCGGATGGGGCCGATTGTACAATTCCGCCGCTCGTCTGGATACCGGGGGCTGGTGATTTCACAGATGAAAACAAAGTCAGCGTGAGGTGCCTTTATCACCAAGTCCGAACTCTTTGTGATCGTGCCTCCAGTTTCATTGGTTCTCCACGTAACACGTGGAGCAATGGCTGGGGTGAAGATGGACATGTTTACGGGAGGGTTACCTGTACGAGACGCACAAGTCAGTGCCGTGCTGTCGCCGATATACACGGTCAGCGGTCCGCTCGGCGTGCATGCTGGATTACCATCACCCGGGAAGGAAAACACCGTCAATATTGCCTCTTCCGTGTGCTTCACAGGGTTCTCTGCGTCTTGTTGCCGTACTTCACAAACGTATCGTCCAGTGTCCTGTGTGCTGACGTGGGAAATAGTCAGTGTGAGTGCCTCATCAGTAGAAGAATCGCCCCGGCCATCGAGCGGTCCTTGTGTGATCACAATCCGACCGTCAGTCGTTAGGACCTGAAAGTTGAGCCGCCAGGTGATGGTATCTCCCTGCGCTAAACCTCGCACTTCACACCTCAGCGTAATGTTATCCCCTTCCTCAGCGTCCACGACACCCGGTCCTACTTCTGTGCCGTTCACCACAACAATCTGTGCTTCAAGAACCCCAAAGGCCCCGTAGAAACAGAGAGTTAAAACACAGAAGATCAGTCCAAACGATCGCAGTGTCACAAACTCCATGTTGTACACCAACTCAAGAATAGTGTGTCGTGTCGAAAAGCAAAATCTCTAATCTGGAAGGAAACGAAGACAGTGCTTTTTATACCACTCCCAATCTTCCAATAATCACTCCCGGATGTAAATACAACGACCTTGGAGTGGAGTGGGAAGATTCGTCGTAAACTAAAATTAAATGATGACGGAGGTTTTTCGACTCGGGGATTATCCCGCTATACTTTTCTCAAAAACAATTGCGTAAACACTGCATACTTCTACACTGTATCACACAGACGCGTGCAAGGGGGTCACGTGTTGACCCATTCGCTCGGCACGTAGACGTACATGTACAAACGTATGGCAATCCGCATACTTTAAAGGGGTTATATACATATGTCTGACGAAACACTATTTCCAGAAAGGTGACTCGGATCACCGTTAGTGTTTTGTTCAGAGAGTTCAGCGATCGAGTGTTTTCAAGAGACACAACTTGTTGATTTTCATTCGTGGACGTCGGGCCTAAATGCCTCACTGATAACAAATATTTGTCCAGGGTAAATAAATATGACAATGAACCTCGTTCGTCGAACTCCTGTTATTGTGTCGCGGTCATTCAGCCTTCGTGTTTCGCTGTTATCTTATCTTTCACGGAAGGAATGCAAAATATTAATTCCCAATAACAAGTCTTCAATGTGGTCCATTATTCGAAAAGTAAATAGTTTATTCAGACCACAATTCTGTTTGTGTGGAAGACGTCAATAAATGGGAGTTTCCCACCAATAGAGGGCGCCATGATACCTCTACGACCAGATTCGTCTTCACAAATGTTTCCTTCTTCAAGTCTGAGAGGCAACTGTGATGTAACGTCTTCAGAAAACGAAACTGACGACATTCTTAAAACCATGGATTGCGTACGAGATGGGGTATCGGGAAATGATGTCAGAAGCCAAGTCGAAATGTTCTGTTTAAAAACTTTTTTTTTTAAGTTAAAGAAGCAATAGGCCTACGTTTGTACGCCAAGTTCGACTTTTCTCAAATTATAACCCCCTTCCACATTTTGTAATAGCTGGATCAGGATGTGATAAATAATTTTACGAATAAAGTGTTTGGAAGTTCATTATGTTATACAAGTTGGGTAAGACACTATTGGGCAATGTTAGTTGCTCTACATTTAGAATGAAACTACTTCAATTGTTAGTTCATCCGGGTAACACTTGCCCAATTTTTGGGAGGAATTTGCCCAAGAGTTGGTACCTTGGCCAACTCACTGGCAAAATATCAACCCATATTTACCAGACTCTTTTGAGTTTCGTGAGGTGTCCACACGTATTTCGTAATATCTGTTTTACCTCTTTCGAGGGATGATTGTGATTGCCGTGCGTGTTACGTTCTCTCCGCCCGCAAAATAGAAACGAGAATAGAAAAAAACAACCAATAATCAAATCACGTGACCTGCAAGCTAACATCTGACGTAGGGCCTATGTTGCTTTCCCGGATCGTGTTGGGAGATTATCATGAGTGCATTTTTTTATTTCCAAGAAATTACGCATTACTTGCCGCGAACCATGGGCGTCGCCAGGATTTTTTTCTAGAGGGGGGCAAGGCACATATTCCCCCCCCCTCCAAAAAAAACCCTCTATATTTTCCAGCATTTTCCCGATTGATCTTTTTTCGAGGGTGGGCAGGGACATTTGCCCCCCCCCCGCCCATTAAATTAACAACAATATGATTTCAGGAGTAAACTTTTTCTGTGAAACCGGAGCTTCAAAATCCCACAGCCAGATTAAATTAAACAGAGTACACGAGTTATACAAAGTCAACAGTCTGAGGTGGAATTATGAACAATCTCAGTTTTGATAAAGTTAACCAACTTTGGTTAACATTCATTAAAAAATTTGGGAAGGTAAAATGTGTCTTTTTTTTTTTAGTGTTATCATTACCACTGAGTGCACCCCCAGTTCCCCCCTGTTCTCCCAGGTCCCCGGCCCCCTTGAAGTCCCAGCCCTGCAAGTCCCCATCCAAAAGTCATCCCCTCCCTAAAAAAGAAAACCCCCAAAAAACATGAGTATGAAACAACAAGTTCGTTCTTGTTTCTTCCCAACAACAACATAAAAGGATCACCATGCAGATACATGGGAGTCATTCGACGAACGAGGTTTCATGATAATGATCGTCTGTTCCGTTGTGTCAACATTATCGAGAAATGATAACAATTGCCGAGTACAGGGGACCGCATGTGCTCAACAGGCTTCCACGAACTAAAATTACACATAAAAGGTATATGAGGTGTACACCTCGTCATTTTCAGATTATATAGCTTAAAATTATCTTTGGCGCCTAACATTTTGAAATGTTGCTGAACAGGTTATACTTCACCGTAGAGCGCGAACGTTGTATTTTTAATGAATGACTGCATGCATTTACATAAACAATAGGCCGCTAAATGTATTTTTTACCCTCCATGGTATACTGAAAACAATCGTCATGATAATGAAAGGTTTGCCGGGAAACACCATGTGCGAATAATTTCTCAACTAAGAGAATGGTTCTGAAAAGAACCAGAGGTATAAACTCGACGTTCCGGTCAGTATGCTCTGACCGTCTTCAGGAGAGGTTAGAGCATACTAACCGGAACGTCGAGTTTATACCTCTGGTTCTTTTCAGAACCATTCTCTTAGTTGAGAAATTATTCGCACATGGTGTTTCCGCAAACCTTTCATTATTTAGTATCTCCACCATGCAAAGCCTCAAATCTTACTTAATCGTCATATGATCTTGTATTCGGGACTATACCTTCACTCAAAATCACCCACACATCTGTTATACCAATCCTTGCTCATTCTTAACTTGGGATTTCTCTGATGCGGTGATGCCCAATAAAAATTGTGTGTTTCCCAGACTGTAAATCTTCCAGCGAGGTTGTCAGTGTGTGCTCCTTTAACGCGATGGGGAGACGCGTCGCTATGGCAACAGTGTGACCCATTAAGCCCGTACCGGGTCGACCCAAGCACCTTGTAGGGTGATCCTATCGAATAACATCACAGCCAGTCTGCACAGTGTGATTGATTCTTGCAAGATGTTGAAGGCCATCTAGAAATTGTCTCAGGAGCCAAGCTATACATGCAGTTCAGCAAATCAGAGCGGTTGGCTCAATTTCTAGTAATTCACATCGTAGAAAAGGGATTTCTTATTATGAGTCACATTTGATATGAAAAAAAAATGTGTATTGGTTGAACAATAATTCTTAAAAACAAACGATGGCATTAAGGACTGCTGCAAACTCTGACTGGATTGACCTACAAATCTAAAAATTTAATGCGGCCTGACGTTGCGATCTTAACAAATTCTTCTTCAGAGGCAAACTGACAGAGGTACAAGAAACAAACATGTAGAGACTCATAAGCATATCGGGTTGGGAGGAGAAACACAACAAATTAATAAGAATTTCGATGATGAGATTGAAAGGGGCCTATCTATAAACATTGACTCTGTTTATCCCAACATGAGGAACAAGAAGATTGGTGGCTTGCTTGCCAAGCAACAACACCGCAGACATAAACGCGCAGACGTCCCAGGCCCCAATCCACACCACCACCCTCTTCCAATACTGTAGTCATGGAGGAAGGAATATACTTTTTTTCCTCCTCATCCATATCTGACGCTGAACATAAACTTCTCTCCAAAAGTCCAAGGGTCTCAACTTTTGTCCCGCTGCATGCCCGTTGTGTGAACGACGTTCAGCTCAGCCAAGATCTCACAGATTACTACTGGTAGGATCCGTCTTCGTGAGTTTTTTCCTTGTTTCTGACCCATGTGACCCTCCCGTGTTAAACACCCCCCCCCCCCAAGAATCGTGTACCAGACCTTGAAACATTATGTTGAAGTTGTCAGTTCCCAGGTCACTAACCCTGATAACTCCCCCACAGGACAAAACGATCTCCCAGAGAGAATTAGCATTTGGAACTTTCAGCATAGACGAGGCCCATGTCACAGGTTCATTCTGTCAACAAGGCACAACAGGTGCATGTGGTATGCGATCATGTGACCAGCTATGCAAAGAAAGAATGTCTGCCCCAACTGAGTGTAGGACTGCCAGATTTTACCTTCTCTCCAACCATTCAGCTCCATGCTCCAATATTCACACAAGGCGTCTAAGTTAAATGAAACTTTTATTTATGACTTCTTCTACTTCTTGATATAGCAGAGGTCGATCTACCACAGCGACTGCAACTGATTACCCAAGCAAGACAACACATCGAGTCTTACTTCCCAAATTGAAACTTCACCTGACGTGGAGTCTCATACCTCCCTTTCCACTCCCCTAACCACGCCTCTCACCTCAACTTCTGCCGAACAACACATATCAATTTGGAGTAAAGCCCCCACCATGAAGGATAAGCTTACAACTTCCAAGGCTCAGCTGGCGCGCGAGGACTCTGTCGTCTCCAAGTCGCCCAGTAAAATTCCCTTTATTTTGGTGGGAATCTTCGCTGCTGTCACCATCGCCCTAATGATTACCACAAGTGAGTAGAGATCGAGCTTTTTCCGGGGGGGGGGGGGGTCGAAAACCCTTACAATATTGATAAAATTAATGAAACCAATGAATCTGAAACCATTAAAAACTTGCGATTAATTAATCTAAGGTTGATTCTCACTTACCGTTTGATAACTAAGATTTTACTGTTTGAAATTCTTCGTGAAACACCCCGGTTTCTCAGATACAGAGACCGGCAATTTAAGGAAATTTACAAAGGACCAACCGTGCTCAGCATTGTACTTTACTAAGCTCAGACAGAAGTTGCTCAGCAAAGACAGGTTACCAGCCATTTAGTCACGCAGTGTATCATATTGTTCATGGCTGGTTCTCAGACGGCTCATGCTTAGCACTAACATTTCCTAAGCAACATGGTCTGGCGACTCCCCTTTGAACACGGTGGAAAAGATCTATATTGAAACATTTTGTTTGGGTTTGTCTGATGCTATTTTGTTAATCAGACTTGAATGTTTGCAAGGTCTCGAGTTAAAAGATTTGACATCAGCAACGGGTGTATTCATTGTATAAGCTGCAGTGGGCCACCATTAACCCGACGTTTCGATGACGTTGGTATGTTCGCAGTGGCATAGCCGGGGGGGGGGGGGGGGGGGGGGCGGCTGGCCATTCGGCCAAGAAAATTTGGGCAAATTTTGTCGTTGATCCGCCTTTGGTGCTCACATAAAATGCTGGTACCCCCCCCCCCCCCCCGACCACCACCCCCCTCTTAAAAAATATTCTGCCTGTCGCACTGTATGTTTGTCTTCAGAATTTGACGAGTTTGTTTACGTGTTTTCCAGTTGTTTTCGCAGTACAGAAGAACGACATTGCCGCCAAGCTGGACGAACTGAAGGCAAATAAACCACCGGTGCCCGTGGATCGGGAGACGTGCACGACAAAGCAATGCTATGACTCCGGTAATAAGACAGGGATATCATACCCTGCACATTATCTGAATGACCAGGTCACACGGGTGACAACATGACCGACACTAGCTACAGTCCCTTTCAACTATTGCCCCGAAGGAATGTCACAGTTCAGAGAGACCGCAATGACACATTGTGGAAAAGTGTGAACTTAATGAACCAAGTTTCCACCTAAGATGTAATTACTGGTGAGAAAACACTTTCGAATTGCCGATGTTCATCAACGAAAATGTGAAACTTGGGCAAGATTTTGTTTTACGTTTTAAATTTTGTTTTACGT